TCTCGGAGTTCGTGCGTGCTTCTCCACAGCATTCAAATTCTGCACATGTTCTTCAGAATTCAGAGCACAGAGCTCCTTTTTTAATTGTTCAAGTTTATTTTTATATTTCAAAACAATTTCTTCTTCATATACCTGCTTGGCTTCTGCAATATCTCTTCTGCAGCACTTCTCCAGCTCAGCCCTCAAGTTCTGCAGCTGCCTGCAAATATCCTTTTCATGGCTGATTTTCAGTTCTTCGATAAAAATTCATTTTGGATAAAGCTACTTCATTTTTAAATTCTGTTATTTCTGTGTCCCGGAGAGAAAGGGTATGCTGTAGCATAGACAAGCTAAATCTTTCCGATGTCAGGAGATCCTGAAGACTTTTAATATGCTGTTCTTTTTCTCGTAGGCTTTTGTATAGTTCTTGTATTTCATCCTTCACATCCTCTTCCACTTGGGCAAGCATATTTTGTTTATCTTTCGTATTTTTCAAAATAAAATATTCCATATGAAGTATGCCACTGAAATATGACATGTTTTAATTTCCCTAAGAATCATGCTTTTAATGTATCTTCACAAATAGTATTTATTGTGTTATATCATTGGCCTAGGCAACAGGATTTTTAAGCACATTCTTGAAAATGGAAAGTACTACTGAAAGACTCTTCAAATATAGTAACAAATATAAAATTGTCCAAGCAATAACAGATGGTATACTACTGACTCTAGAGAGAAAGAGAATAGCATGTTTCTCAAACTTCAGGTATTTTAATAAAAAAAGTAATAGAGAGGTGCCTGTAGCTCTATTTATCTCACATCCTTCTGCACAGAGAAAACACCTCCTGCAACAGGAGCAGGCTGACAGAACAGCCACATCAGTGTTTGAGCCATCTGACTCACTCAAGAGTTTAAAGCTTCTGTGTATGGCATTGCTGGTTATTTTCTTAAAAGAAATCAGATCTTTTAAGTTACTATTTTAGTATATGATAGTAAATCAAAAGGATTATCACCAAATTTGAAACTCATACTATAAAAAAAAAAAAAATATTTAAACCCCCTCAAACTGTTTTGTTTAACTTTGAGTTTCTTTATTTGTAGTGCTTGTTTCTGGATTGATTACATTAGAATATTCCCTCTTAAGCTTTTCACTTTGTTTTGTATCTGAAACTAAACACTGTTATAAAGTTAACCTCTTTTCTCGGCTAAATGTTTCAAATTCACACACAATCATATTGTTACATGCTCACAGAGCATATCCAACAACCTTGACCCCACTGCAAGCCTCCATCAGTCATGTTCCCACAGACACCACATGAATCTGCTTCTGATGGAAACTTCTTAATGATATATACAACAATTTAGTAGCAGAGTTAAAGACTAATTCTTCTATGACATAATCAATGGAGTAACTTCAATAAATAAAAATTTGATTCTGACTCTTTCAAAATTAGTTATTTTATTCAAGAAATATAACAAACAAAAACCTAAATTGTGAGGAGTTATTTGCCTCAGCTGAATATCGTTACCTTTAGAACAACACATTTTTAATTCCAGAAACTGAAGAACAGTTTCAGTCCTGAAGCATCAATTATACTTCATGCACTAATTAAATATCTATTGTAGGTTCTTTCTCCAAGAAGTACTTCCTTGGTTTGCACAATCACAGAAAAAAAGTAACTACCTAGAACTTGCAACTATAAAAGTACTTTGAACAGGTTTTACCTTTTGGGAAGACTCAAGCTGTGCTTTGAAGTCATGTGCTTTCTGACGCAGCATCTCCAAACGTGCATTTTGTTCTCTGAGATGTTTCTCAAACAAGGACATCTGCTGCTGGGCTTCTAATACTTCATTCTTCCCAGGGCTTTTACTCTTCAGCATGTCAGTAACCTGAACACATAAAAGTACTCACAGTGAGAAGAAAATTTATATCACAACTCATATACAAATCTCACTGTATATTTTTATATACTATTAATATTTTTAGCAACAATCTGGATGAGGGGACCCTCAGTAAGTTTGCAGAGGACACGAGATTGGGTGGGAGTCGATCTGCTTGAGGGTAGGAAGGGTCTACAGAGGGACATAGACAGGCTGGATGGCTGGGCTGGGGCCAGTTGTGTGAGGTTCAACAGGGACAAGTGTCAGGTCCTGCCCTTGGGTCACAACAGCCTCTGCAGCGCTACAGGCTTGGGGAGGAGGCAGGGAAGGTGCCGGGGGTGCTGGGCAACAGCCGGCTGAGCGTGAGCCAGCAGTGTGCCCAGGGGGCCGAGAAGGCCAACGGCGTCCTGACCTGGATCAGGAATGGTGTGGCCAGCAGGAGCAGGGAAGTAACCATCCCCCTGTACTTGGCAGTGGGGAGGCCGCACCTCAAACACTCTGTTCAGTTTTGGTACCCTCACTACACAGAAGACCCTGAGGAGCTGGAGCGTGTCCAAAGAAGAGCAGCAAAACTGGTGAAGGGTGTAGAGAACAAGTTTTACAAGGAGTAGCTGAAGGAACCAGGGTCATTTAGCCTGGAGAAAAGGAGGCTCAGGGGAGATCTTACACTCTCTGCAGCCACCTGACAGGAAGCTGTAGCAAGGTGAGGGTGAGTCTCTTCTCCCAAGTAACGAGTGACAGGACCAGAGCAAATGGGCTCAGGTTGCTCCAGGGGAGGTTTAGATTGGATATTAGGAAATATTTCCTCACTGAAAGAGCTGTCAAGCCCTGGAACAGGCTGTCCAGGGAAGAGGTGGAGTCACCATCCCTGGAAGTATTTAGAAGACACGTAAGTGTGGTGCTCAGGGACATGGTTTAGTGGTGGACCTGGCATTGCCAGGTTAACAGTTGGACACAATGATCCTAAGTGATTCTATGATTCTATGACTGGGCATACGGGTAAGAGGACAATGAACAAAACCAGTCTTCTCTGCAAAGGATTTACAGCTCAACAGTGAAGGTTGTTTCCTTTCTCTCTACTTCCTTCTGAATAAAGAGAAAATACTTAACCCCACAGAGGAAAATAAAATGTTTTATTCTTTTTTAAAACCTTTTTCCAAAGACGTTGGTAAAACCAAGAAGGTAATATTTAAGACCGTATTAGTATTTTTATCTATTATCCAAGTTGACACGCTTCCACAAACAACCTGCATCACATTACTAGCCTTATTTAGAATATGTCTGAAGTGCTATTTAGAGGCTTTATCATTGTTTTTCAATGGCTTATGAAGCAAATGTCAACTACGATCTGTGGAGCAATTTTCACTATTACTCTGTATTTTGTCAATAGCAGTTAGAACTGTACATAAAAAGTAGTATTTGTTGTTCTTCTCCAAAGTTAGAATTTCATTTAGCAGAGGATTTATTTTCCAGGGCAGGAAAGACTCCTTCATAGTAATCCCTACACTTCAATAAGGCTCACTTTTTACTTTTACTTTTTTTAAACCCCCTTCTTATCCAGACATTTAAGACATGTAGTCTCTCACATCAAAATTCTTATCTTGCAAACCTGAAACAGTAAATAAACAAAAGTATTACCCTTTAGCATATTCTACAAGGCTCCTGAGACAACAAATACACAGGTGTTCTGAGAGAATGGCCACTAGAACACTGAGCATCATGAAAAAAACCCAAGTGCTTTTTTTAAAATTTAAAGTAAATGAAAGGCTGTAGTATCTCACTATCCAGGGATTAGATCCATGATGAACCTATTACACCAAAGCAAGTTCTTGTGTGTCATAGGGGCTGTATTAACTATCTTCAGGTTATTTTAAATCTCATCCTTTGAGCCAAGCCACCTTACCTCAACATAGGAAGTTTCTATATAAAGCTGAGCTGTTACAGTTGCCCGTGCACATACCCAGAGCTTCAGCAAACGCAAGGCAAACTGAACACATGCAAGCCCATATCACTACAGCAATCATTGTGTGTAGATCCCAAACCACTAATATTGTGCAGAAGTCCCTAACAAGGGCTAAACTGATGGACAAAATGTGTAATGACCTACCAAACATTTCACAAGCACATAAGTGGAAAACATCAAGGACTGAAGAAAACTGCCCGGCCCTGAAAACATTTTCACTGCTGGATTGCAAACTCCACTACAAGGAGCTATGGGATAAGCTCAATCCATTTTAACATCCCTATTCCAAACTTGTTCTTATTGTCTTTGTAAGGAAACAAACACAGGAGGAGAAGCACACCTGGTGTAACTGAAGTTGTACATCATGGATCTGATCAGTTACGTGTGAAGCCTCCTCCCGTAGGTCATCCTGATCCTTCTTCATCTTTTGAAGACAGCTTGTTAGTTTCCCGATGACTGCATTCCGCTCTTGAACAGTAGTTTCCTACATTGATCACAAAAAGCACACTTTTAAATTTAAAATATAAAGAAGCCAGTAAGTTTCCTTTAAAAAAAAGCCGTTAGAGTCTATAGTTACGCTGAAGTTTTAACAAACTTATACCAGAAGCCCCAAAATGTTTGGTTGAAGTGATTTTCAATAAAAAATAAAAATAATTAAAGAAAATAATCAACAAACAGACAACATTTATTTTGAGTTTTGCCTCCTAAATATATTTAGGATTAAAATAAAGTAGTATAAAACCCATTATCCAATTCTATGAAACGTACCTGAAGTTGTACAGATTCGCTGTGCTGGGTGAGTTGTTCCTGTAGTTCATTTATCTGTGTAGTGAGCCTTTCGACTGGTCCCTGCTTCTCCAGAAGTCTGGTCTTTAACTCAGCTATTCTCGTCTCACACGTCTTGGCATCAAGCTCAGTGTATTCCACAGCAGAATTTATCTTAACCTTCTTCATAAAAGAAACAAAAATGTATTTATTCACCAAACCAACTTGCCATTTCTGCTTTGCGATTACTCTGAATATAAATTCCACTTCTAGGTTAAATACTGGTCAAATCCTAGATTAAAATGAATTCAATATGGGGACTTGGTATTTAATAGAAACATCATAAAGTCAATGCTTAAACATTTCAAATTAAGAAATTCATAGATAGTATATTTTCATATGACACTTTAATGTGCAAAATAGGGAGATGGGCATTGTGATTCTGTAGCACTGAATTGTGGCAAAGTGCTATTTTGACACATGATAGGATTTAAAATACATTCCAACTTACAAGGTGGGCAGAGGAGACAGGACAGGAAAAATACCAAAAATTTTTACATCCATCAGTACTAACTGGAGAATAGTTCAAGCACAGGAAATATAATAAAAGTTCTTGACTTTTATTTTAAGTGTTAGCAGTTATTGCAAATAAATATTCAACATACTCTTAAGTTTCTACGGACTTTAACAGCAAAACAAACAAACAAACAAAACTACAAAGAGAGAAGCTGCTCCCATCAATCCAATCAATCTCCTGGAAGCAACATAATTAAAATTATCACAGACAGTACCTTGTACTTTATTTTAAATATTTTTTTTTGTTTTACTGTATGAACAATTAAAGAATAAATCTACTTTTCAATTAAAAAAATACTGTTCAAATTTCTCTGGACAAAGTTCATGATTTTTCTAAAACCAGTTCTCTTAGCAACCAGTTTTCCAGCTGCTCTGGGTACATACAGATAAGCACTAGTAGTTTAGACAGTGAAATTGCATCGGTTTTACCACATTTGCTAAAAAAGTTCAACAACTAATCATTTTAGTAACCCATTATCATACTCTTCTTTCATACATACATCAAGCATCTTTTACTAAAGATGCTTTCTTTCACTTACTTCAGCCACTTGATCATTCACTACATCCCAGCTGGACAAGTCAGCACTCCCCTGGTAAGTAAACAAATAAAACAAACACTAAATCACAGGCATTTTAAAGATAAATAAGGAAAAGTAGAATTATTTTGCCAACACTCTAAGCACATGAGCCAGAAAGGTCTACATTGTAAGACAATATACCAGTGAGAGAGAGAGAGACTGACTATTGCTAAATTCAGCTGGTCATCCATGGTTAAATGAATGAAATAAATGCAAAAAAAAGTTATTACGAATGTATGCTCAAAAATTTAGGGCTAAGTCTCACCATTGAGATTTAACATTTCATCTTCTGTTTTTCTGGCTTGCAAATACACTTGAGCACTCTTTACAGCTAAATATTTGTTAAATGATCTCCTGTCAGGTGACTAACATGCTCAAACCATTCAGACAGCTATGAAAGCAGTGCTATTTTCTGATACATATACTTAATGTAGCTTGGTATCTTGAAAGACACTTACCTTTCACCAAATTCACAAGACAAAGATGACCACAGCATTACTTAGAAAAGCCCACAGCCCTCCCTGCATTCTGAATCTGCGCAAAGGAGCTCCCCATGACTGTCTCCCTAGAGGTGACCTCTCCACATAACCTAGACAGCACTACCATTTGCTTTACAAACCACCTACTTTGACAGAATCAGTACGTGATTTCTGTTTGGGTGTTTGTTTTTTTTTTAAATTTAAGTTCACATGAATGTAATAAAGGATACCGTATAGAAAAACTTAATGCACATAGCTTGGCATGTCGCTTCATAAAAGCCTTTGCAATGCTCACCTTATGCTCAGGGCATCCTACAACCACTGGGGATACTCTAGCAACACCAAATAGGATACCACGTGCAAATGGTATCCTCTGTTATTGAAGCTCTGCAAATACACTGGTTTATCACTGTTGTATGGTGGGAAAACACCAATAGCTGGAGAGGTGATATTTATGCAGAAGGCACCGCCTTCTCAGACCTCACAAATCCTTGCACAGACAGCGTGCTGAAATGCACTGGGAAACTACTTCCTAATCGGAGAGAGATACGGTTCGTTGTAGCCAGAGAGCTGCTTGTAGCTTCTGAGGCTTGCAAAAGCATTAATCAACCAGTTCTGAAGCAAGTTAGATTCCTATGAAAAAAACTGTTCAAAACTACAGTTTGCTTATTTTTATTACAAGACAGAAAGAGAGAGAAAGTGTTATATGACTCTCTAATCCACAGCTGATATGAATTAAAATTCTTGCTTGTGAGTTGAAACTGCTTCACTGAGGCAGACCACCTCTTCTATTAGCAGATGTCTATCAACCTCAAGCTACATCACAAGCTGTGCTTCTACATTTATTGGCACGACTACCTTTAGAGGGTCACTAGTACCAACATACTGAAATACAGCAGGCACAGAATCAGGTTTTAAACACATTTGTCAGAGACAGTAACATCTATGTTACACTTGCTTACAATGCTTTACAATGGCTACCAAAACCACGTTAGAAAAATTGTATTTAAAAAAAAAAAATCGTTAAGTGTGTTTGAGTCAGCAGAGTGATACAAAATCAAACTAATGCAGTGCACTGCAAGGTCCTGGCAGCTCTGCACATCAACTGTGCCTCTCAACCTGGATTTGCCATTTCATGGAGTCAGACATAACAAGAAGCCTGCCAAAAAGAAGTTCGTGGCAGTGAAAGGCTAAAGACCTCAATTTAGCAGGCTAACAGCAGACAGCTCCTTGACAATACCAGCTGTTCAGTCCACAGAACAGAGATTTATTTATTTTGCAGTTATTTACATCACTTTGTAAGACAGTTAATTATCACAAGTGAAAATACATCAGCTTGCTTACTTCTCAATGGCAGCTAGTTAACAGTGCCAGAGAACCAATACCCAGTTAAGTAAAACCATCACCTGGAATACTTGTTATCTGCAGATATAGTAAAGTGAAATGCAAGAAATACTAAGATTTACCTCTGTTGCTGTCTCTAGCGCGTTGGAGCCTTCAGCCTTACTTTCTAGCGCGTTGGAGCCTTCAGCCTTACTTTCTAGCGCGTTGGAGCCTTCAGCCTTACTTTCTAGCGCGTTGGAGCCTTCAGCCTTAGTTTCTAGCGCGTTGCAGCCTTCAGCCTTAGTTTCTAGCGCGTTGGAGCCTTCAGCCTTACTTTCTAGCGCGTTGGAGCCTTCAGCCTTACTTTCTAGCGCGTTGCAGTCTTCAGCCTTAGTTTCTAGCGCGTTGCAGTCTTCAGCCTTACTTTCTATACCCTTACCCACATCCTGGGCTGTTAGTGCGCACTTTTCCTTCGGAACGTCATTTGCGTGGACAGACGAGCCCTTCCTCTTCGTCGTCTTTTTCTGCGACTGCGTGACGTCGGCTTTTGCTTTTCGTTGTCTGAAGTAAGCAAACTGTGCATAAAAGATTGGAAGAGGTAGAGGGAGAGGTAAGTGAGAAAAAGGTAGCAGGACCACAAGATTAGCACACTCATGGGTGATGAAGATCCTGTCCTGATAAAATATATACATCTGAAGAAAAACTGCTTTATCTTCCTACTTTCTATACATTTAGAACATATTGGATAACTGTGCAATTACACAAGAAATCTCACACCAGTACTAAACACTCATTTCAATATAAGAATCAAATTTTACTCAGTGAAACTCTGTGTGTCAGTGACAATCCGGAATTACAGCAAGACAGATTTCAGTAAAGGAACGAGTTGTTAATATACTAGAATCATTAGGAGAAAATAATAATTGAGCAGTCTTTCTACAAGACAAGTAAAACCAGTAACTCCCTACAAATATATCTAAACAGATCTTTGCTAGCGTAAGCTTTACGATTAAAATTAACGGAAGTGAATCATCACGCTCCTTCCCTGCGACCCCCCTGTAAGAGAATACAGCAAAACTTCCTAGCCAGAAAGCAGCCTACAGTACATAAATAGAAAATCAATTAAGCCAGGTCATTTTAATTTCTTCTGCTGAAGAATCAGATGTTCTACTTTATCAGAGTACCACAGCTCCACAAAGCACCAGGGACTTGTAAAGAATGTCACTGGCAAAATCGATTATCCAACTTTCCTTAGCACCTTAAACACCTTAAAAAGGATTATTGTATTTTCAACTCTAGTACTGTGTTTAGATAGCATTTCCAAGTAACATCTCTGTCACAGCATCCTTCTCATAAGGAAAAAGCCACCTCTAAGGTTACAACCACAGGTTATCAAGTGCACTCTGAATATATCCTTGTGATAAGGTAATATGTAGTCAAACAATGACGGGATGTAAATGTAATTGCCAAGTTCTACCTGCAATGCATACAAAAATCAGCTGCTTGACAGCTTGGTTCTCCTGTAAAACAGTCACCTCACAAAAAATCCTGAATATTTCATTCAACTTGTGAAATGGACTTAGTTCAGTCCCTTCTCCTTACACCATTATGGCAACTTCTACCTGAGAGCTTCGCTACTCAGCAGATAAATGGTTACACACCTGCTACACTGAGCAGTCTGCTTAAAAGGTATATTTGCAGAAAGACATCAGTTTCTTACCAGCAGTTAAGAAGTTGATATACGAACAGCTTAATGTTAAGGTTATATTCTGTAGTTTCTAGTTATTAATACTGCATGCAGATTAAACAAAGACTGTCAGGTGCCATGTTGCCTTTAATAAACAAAATGAACATACCAGTTAACTAAATCTGTGCACAAATGCTGTTCTCTGAAACCAGGTGTTAGCTCTAGCACTCACTGATGACAACATATATCACAAACAGTTGTTGTTAATTAACCAGATAACATGGCAAAAAGGGACAGGAGTAAACCTGCAGAAAAATGTAGAGGACAACATTGAAGCAAGAAAAGCGGGAAAATAGCTTTTCAATGACTTTTTGTTCTCAATCTTCACTGGCAAGGGCTTTAACACCACCGACCAAGCTACAGAAGGCAAAGGCAGGGACTGGGGCAACGAAGATCTGCCCACTGTTAAGAGAATCTCAGAATCACAGAACGTCAGGCATTAGAAGGGACCTCTGGAGACCATCTAGTCCAACCCCCCTGCCAGAGCAGGTTGCACAGGATGGTGTCCAGCCGAGTTTTGAACGTCTCCAGAGACAGAGACTCCATCACCGCCCTGGGCAAACTGTTCCAGTGCTCCGTCACCCTCAAAGTAAAGAAGGTCCTCCTCATGTTCAGATGGAACTTCCTGTGTTCAAGTTTATGCCTGTTACATGTTGTCCTGTCACTGGGCACCAATGAAAAGAGATTGGCGACATCCTTCTGACAATCAACCCTTTAAGTATTTGTAAGTGTTGATAAGATCCCCCCTCAGTCTTCTCTTCCCCAGACTAAAAAGCCCAAGTCCCTCAGTCTTTCTTCCTAAGAGAGATGCTCTAGTCCCCTAATCATCCTCAAAGCCCTTTCCTGTATCCTCTCCAACACCTCATTGTTCTTCTTGAACTGGAGAGCCCAGAACTGGACACAGCACTCCAGATGTGGCCTCATCAGGGCAGAAAAGGGGGAAGGATGACCTCCCTCAACCTGCTGGGCACACTCTTCTTGATGCACCCCAGGATGCCACTGGCCTTCCTAGCCACAAGGGCACACTGCTGGCTCACGGTCATCCTGTTGTCCACCAGGACTCCCAGGTCATTTTCCATAGAGCTGCTTTCCATCAGGTCAGCCCCTAACCTGTGCTGATATATGGGGCTATTCCTACCTAGGTACAATACTCTGCCACCGTAGTGGAGGTAAGTCATAGAATCATAGAACCATTAAGGTTGGAAAAGACCTCCAAGACCGTCTAGTCCAACCCTCAACCCCATGCTACTATGACCACTAAACTATCTCCGGAAGTGTCATGTCTAAATGTTTTTTAAATACTTTCAGGGACAGTGACTCCACCACCTCTCCGGGCAGCCTTGTTCAATGCCTCGCCACTCTTTCAGTAAAGAAAT